TAATACAGTTCTCTAAAACATTTACACATAAGAAAATAAGTGTCTGAATATTATTAAGCGGGTAGATTTGCACATGCACGCCTGGAAGAACACATACGAAGGTGTAAAGTCGAATTAAATTATACATAATGTATAGATACACTTTATATTGATGATTAAAAACTCATTTATATGAATCAGGTTGAGCATCGTCTATTTTTTATTTATTTTTTGTTGTCTTGCATGAGCACACACACAACACGGTCACACACACGTAATCACATCAAGAGATGGAGATGGGGCTTTGATGGAGGAGGTCAGTCAGTCACAGAGCAGATAAACAACACCTCATTAGGCATGTTGAAGGGAGTTTTGCAGGCCGGCCGAGACATCATTGTCTGCTAGCATGCTAACAGAGCCCTGGGCAAAGCTTGCAACATCTAAACAATCCTGATAGGACTGGAAAGTAATGATCACATGTTATCCACTAGAAAGGACATGAATAATCACGCACAATGGTTTGGGGTATAATACATCGCCATGCACTGCCCTGCATCCCGCTGGATGCAGACATGGACACAGCGGAAGATGCATGCAACAGACATCGTTGCAATAACAGTGATGTCGAGCTGCCCGGGGCTGGTTTTTTATCCTACGCATGCATGCACTTGCTATCCATTCATAAGATTATGAGCTATCCATTACTGGGTGGTACAGGACTCTATACCAGGCATGATATAGTTGGTACAGCATGAATCCAGAGAGGCAGGAATCTGGGGATGTGCGCTGCAGTTTCTTTTTTTTTTTTTGCTTTGGGCTTTAGGCAGTCAATTTTCTTTCCATCACACACTCGCACACTTTCAGTCATTCTTGCACTCACAGTATTTATCTCACACTCTCTCACTCTACGCTCCCTCTCTCTCCCTGTATTAGGCCATCCTCCTTTTCCCTGGCTCTCATGTTAATGCACTCCCAATCAGGCTGTCCATTAAGTGGACGTGCACTACACGTTCATCAGGCCGTCTAAAGGCCTGCATGCAAATGAGCTCAAATTGCAGTGCGCTGCAAACTCCTTGAAATCTCCTTAGAGGGAAGAGCGCCAGTCTCAGACATGCATCTGTGAGAAATGCAGGGAAAAGTGAGGGGCTGCCTGGCTGGCTGTCCATTTTATGCAAATGAAAAACCATGGAGACAAGCAGTACAAAGGATTAACCCAATCAGGATGTGTTTTTGATGTTTTGATGCAATGGTGAGACACACGCATGTGAAGCTTGCTAATGTAAATTTTATCTGTGATGTGTAAGCCTGAGTGTTGAGTTTCTGTCAGCCTTTGTCATGCTCAGTAAAAGTTCCCCATTCTGAAATCAGTCAAAAGTTTTCCCAGAAATTCTAAAAGTGAGACACACAATGGAAAGATCTTCTTTCCCTTTCCTCCCTTTTTGACCGCTAGGCATTTCACATCGCTCCATTTTGTTCGTTAAAAAAAAAGTGTTATTTTATCCAGTGGGATTCGCTCATTCTCACCTCGGTTCTTTGCCATCTCTAACTTTCTAAAACTGTTAGGCTGAACGGGGAGACAATAGAAAAGGGCAGCACAGACATGTAGGCGTGAGAGATGTCATAATTGTAAGTAGAACATTGTGTAAGATGAAGTAGCAGAAAGAAGTAGAGACAAAGCTCCAGATGCTTTCTCATACGAACTCTGAAAAAGGATATTTTCTGGAGTCACACATGTAGCATATAATAAGATTGTCATTATCAGACGCTGCACTCCTGCACCTACTCCATCAGGCTGAGGTCATAATCAGAGTCAGATCGAGGAAGGTTTTATTGCCAAGTAGGTTTTTACACATAAGGAATCTGACTGTTTTGTGTGTAACAGTAAACAGACACATATAGATAAAAAGTGCTGCCAGTCGTAGGTATTACAAGATAAATAAGAAACAGTGTTATAAGTCAGATTAGCAGGAAGTGTCATCAAGAGTTTAGAAATCACAAAACGGGATGTAAATGTCATTAGTGTGCAGGAATTTGCAAACAGTCGCCACAGTCGATGGGTGATGCTGAGACAGAGCATGAAGGAAGCAGGACATGACTCAAAACGTTTTGTTTCCAGCACATCGAAGATGGCAGACGAGGCTACCTACTCACAGTAATCAATAGTAATGCTGAGGACTGTTGCATTAGCATGAGTTGGGCCTGATATACCCACAACCTCCTGTTACGACTGCAGTCGTATTTGTTTAAGGGATATTATGTCCTTTGATCTGTGTGACCCGTTCTGATTTCATTACCTATGTAAATAGGGCTACGCCGTCACGACCACGGGATTGGCTAACCAGCGGAAGTTCCGGTTTAAATACGAAGGAAGGACTTCGCCAATCTGCACAGAGACCGAGGGTCAGATGGACGGAGCCATTTTCCTCACCGGCATCCCAACCGGCACAGAAGTTCTGTGTAGTGACTTTTGTGAATGGAGTGAGCTGCTACTTTCTTTTTTACACCGTTTTCTCATGTTTATGTTAGGTAGGGAGGCCAGACATTGTGTTTATTTTCGATACTTAGTTTTTGATAGGCAAGCTGGTTCTTCCTTAATTTAGCTTCGTTTTGGTTGTTTTTTTTAGTAGAGCTCACTCTCAATTTAAGTTAATCATTCCTTTTGTTTTAACCCCACATTTATTGTAAATAAATCCTTATTTGTCTGGTAAACTGCTGTGGTGTGGCTGCTTGGGGCCGGAGAGGGATGGCACATTCGTGTTGCGTTCAGGTGCCCCGAGACTGGGCGTAACATTCCACCTGAACAATGCAGAGTCTGGTGCAGCGTCTCCAGCCACAGGGCTCCAGCTTTTCTTTATCTAATGTGTATCAAGGTGAGTTGACTCCTTTAACCTTATTTATTTTTATTTATTTCTGTGTATCATCGTGTCCATTTCTGTGTTTTTCATTGTTGTGCTCACAGTAAAATTATTACCAGCAGTATGTGGTTCAGTTAAACCTTCTTTCTACTGGTCTTTATTAAAAATAGGTCATTGAAAGATGTCAATAATTATTGATGTCAGCTAAAATGAAGCATTTTATCATGATTTTTTCAGCTTTATCGCCCAGCCCCGATATCGATACTCATCCTCTCTTCGGTAACGTATTTCTTCTGAACCCTCAGATGTTTCTATTCACCCAGTTTTGCACCAGTTGCATGACAGACCCGCTCTCTCTTTGTGAATTCCTGGACAATGACCCGCTCTATTCACACATGGGCTACATCAGACATTACACAGACTTTGTATAAAGGAGCTGGCAGGGTAAAGTCAGTTTAATGTCCATCCCAGCTGATACAGATGTTTGTGTTCTTCTGTAGATAAGTTCAGAGCTGCGGTACATTTGTGAAAACAGAATCATGCTGGTCCAGGAGGCTGCCTCTTTACATTCACAAGGCACAGGGCCTGGCGTTAAATGCATAGAGCAGGGGGGAATGTCAGCGAGGCCTGCTGCGTGCCAACTCTTAAGTGGCTGTGGCACTCAAAGATAATGAAGAACGATGATGAGGCCAAGGAGGGCATGCCGAGGGCCCACGTGCACGGCTAAAAATCACCCAGCAGCCACCTATATCGGGCCGAGCACACAGCCGCTCTAAAAGGTTTGCCAGTGGTGCTGATTGCATGTCACAGTGTCAAACCTGTGGCGAAAACTTCAACTTCCATTTAGTATTCCAGCACATTTCTTTGTGTGTTCTCCTGTGAACACGCGTGTGCGTCTGTACATGTGTGCTCAACAGAATGTGAGCCTGTATGAGTCATTATGCATTTACACCACAGGATGCAGTTGTGTTAAAAAAAACAAAAAAAAACAAAACACACACACGCACACAAAAGTGAAAAGAATGGAAGCTGAGCGAGCACCCCACATCCCTCAATCGTGACCTCGAAACACACTTGTCGTCTTTATTGTTCATTACTGAGCCGTGCGCCGCGATATGCTAACTAATCCCATTAAACTAATCCACATGAAAACAACTTACGGCACGATAACGGCTCGCACCGCCTCCACTGTTAATTTATGCCATATTTAAATGTGCACGGAATTGAAATAATTAATGTGACTCCCCCACTAATTTTCCTTGTGGCAGATATGCTGAATGAATACCCGCAGGATGTTTATTTTCATCAACTCTCTTTGCATGTTTCTCCTATTACCGCCTATGTACACACTCTGCGGTTCAAAGTGACTCTACTCAGGGTGCAGAACTTACATTTTTGGCCATTTGTCCTCACAGGCAGCAGAATTATTTTTCAGACAAACCAAAAAAAAAAAACACAAAACGTGCCGGTAGATGTGTTCAGTTTAAATTTGGATCCAGCTACGTGGGGTACATGAGGTTGTAACACAAAGCTGAAGACCTGCAGCAGGTGTGAGTATCACTACATTAAAACACTGTTAATAAATCTTTGGCTTGTGAATTTTATTTTATTTTTTTAAATTGATGAATATCTGAAAGATGCTGAGAGCAGAATCATGTCACCTCCTATGGTGTCCCAAGATAGTCTGCCTGTAAAATCTTGCAACCGAATGATGAGACAACCGCTGAGAATACTGGCCACGGGCAACGATTCCAACCTGCAGTCGATTTTATCATCTCCAAAGGTCTTTTATTCCCCAAGCCAAATCACAGCTCCCCCATTAGCAGCCGTATGGGCCCTGAACATTTTCTGCTGGTTAACAAATGCTGAGCGTGTTTGGATAGGAAGCGCGCGCACATGGGATTATGAATAAAACATGTTGCCCTTATTAAAAATAATCTGGCTCAAAAGTGCCAGAGGCCCTTGAGGTCGATAACCCCCCCTCCTCACAGGGTTCAAGGAGAAGGGTCTCTGATTAGCCCTGGCAACATCCAGAGAATGCATTCAAATTCTCTATGATCCAGTGGTGAACGAGTGGAATTAAATAAAGCAGATAGTGACTGATGCTCGGGGCAGCGCAGCGGGGAGTTGTTTAGGAGTTTGAGCCGAGCTCGGTCTCGTTCCTACCTGAACATGTCGCCCAGGCCCTTCAGCACACCTTTCTTGGCTTTGTTCTTGTCCTTATCTTTGTCTTTTTCCCTTTCCGATTTCTTCCTCTCCTTCCCCCCAGCCTTGTCCCTGTCTTTCCGTCTGTCATCTTTGGAGAGGTTGCCGTTTAGCCCGGAGCCCACGATGAGGTCGCCGCTGGTGGACATGGACTCACGACCTGACCGGGAGCTTCCCTCGGTGTCCTCGTCCACTGGAGTGAAAACAAAAGTGAGACGTTAAAAAACAGTCACTGAGAGGGACAGAGCAGATCACACTCACACAAACACAAGCAGGGAAAGAAAAGATGAAACGCCAGTTGATAAACTTTCACCCAACTCCCCGTACATCACTGAAGTTGCATTTGAAACCAGCTGACATAAACACCACTTTTCTTTTATCACTTACAAAGCATCACTTCTCTCTTTGGGGAACATCAGAGGAACTATTAAAAAAAATCACTGTGTTCCACAAGGTACAGCAGCTTTGTGCAAAACACACTGAATTCATTCCCCTCATTAGAGCAGAATATATTTACATTGTGCACCCACTGAGAATAGTGTTCAGCTGAACATATTTTCACTTAGCTGAAAGCCTTAAGTTATTTTAATTGTGTATATTTCACAAAGATCACAAGAGGACTTCATTCTCCCTCCTCCTCTGCTGTGGAATTTATATAAAAAAGATGAGACTGAATAGCGTGAGCTGTAATGATAGTCATATGAATCTGGTTCTTAATTATGTCTGAACTAATTTCAACCCAGACATCAAACTGAAACCAAACTCCTTAGGTGATGCAAGGTTGATTAAACTCAAAGTTTCCATCACATCTAATCAGAACCGATGTGCAAAATGTAATTAATCTGTCAGTAATTATACATTTAAATAATCTTGAAAAAGGCTCCCGGGGATCTTAATTGCAAATATGGTGTGCTCCTCAATCGGCATAGCTCCTGTCTATCCCATATCTCTGGCTCTGAGGTATGAGGTAGATGTCCTTCAGATTACAACTTATTACAGTCTTGCGTGTCGTTGTCCAAGTTCTTCCTTTGATGGAGGAGAGAAAGGCGCTTATCGTGAGGAAAGAAGAGGGAGGGGAGACCATGATGGATTTCCAGCATACGGGATGAGACAGACTACGGGAGGGAGGAGCGGCCGGATTCACATTTCAAGGATGAACAGTGGGGTTTGTTTTCTCTTGTGATCTGTGGAGCTATCTGCTATTTCTTTCAGCTGCCATCTCGGAGGAAATTACTGAAATGGAATCTCAACATGACACACCGTACGGCAGGAACAGAGAGCAGCTTAAACCTGCTCAGTTATGCAATTCGTTGCTGCACGTCCATTTCTCCACCTCGACAAAATTTGGGAGCAGGTTCTGGATGGGTATCAGCTTTATCACTCAATCTGCTGCCTGCTTATTATCCACTTAAGAGCAATGGCAGTGAATAGCAGCTGTGAGCTGTATCTGGCTATTTAAATGACTGAGATTAGCAGTGGTGCTAATGTTGCTACTGCTTAATGATGCCAAGCTACAGATAACACACTGAACATTGTAATTCAGAGCCTCCCAGAGGGCAGCAGCCTTGTGCGGGTATACGTGTGCATCCGCTGGCATGTGTGCACGCATGTACACGTGTATGCATTCATCTGGGTTCACATCGTCTTATTAAGAAGTCATACAGAGTTAGCAGGAAGGCTAATCTAGAGGGAATACATGATTTGAAATTTTTTTTTTATCTGCCTTCATTTAATTTAAAATAAAACGAGACGAAGATGAAGCTATTTCATATCAAAAAAACGGACAAAAGCCTTTAACATGAGACATCAAAAGGTGAGGCCTTCTGCAGCGATTTGACGGGACTCAAAAGGAAAAAGGCTGACAATCTCAAATGGCAGCAGCGGCATTGATGAAAGTGTCAGGAGACTGAAAGATAATTTGCGGAGACGGACAGCCATAAGAAACATTGTGTCACTGTGGTGAAAGTCTACCATTAAACTTTCCTGCTTTAATAATCAAGGACATTTAAGCTGGCCTGTCACTGAAGGTTATGACAGACAAGTGAAATTGCCAGTCTTATTCCAATACATAAAAGAAGGGATTTTTGCACAGCGGAGATGATTTTTCTTTTCCCTTTTTTATTTCCTCAAACGATGCAACACAAAGTAGCACAAGGGGAAGTGCATTTTGCCCAGCAGGATATCTTGTGGGGACACATTTTCTTTAGGTGATGCCACATTCTTATTTTATGTAAATAAAAGTCTGGGAGCAGTGGAAGGCAGGAGCTTATCTGTCAACTTTGACTATTAACCTCAGTGACGAGCACAGACTGGCTGCTTTTATCTAAATTGAAAAACAGAGTTATTTGAATATCATGGGGAGAATGCAATATACAGCGGCAGGGGAAATCGGTTGCTTTCCCCATTTTTCTTTGGCGAGATAAGACTGTATTTAGTGGCTTGCCGACAGAGCTTATGAGAACAAAGCGTTTCAGGCAAATAATTCCTTCTTTTTCAAATGTCTCCCAGCTCTTTTAATGGAATCCTTTAATGGTGAATGGAAATTTATATCGAGTGATTACTCTTGTGGTGTTGCAGTGTTATTACCTGTCGGAAAACGTAAGACGGCTGTCTCTCTGTATCCAGTGCATGTCTTTTTGTCATCAAACACCAAGTAGGGGATGGATATATTCACTCAAAGGGAAGGTAGTGTGTCTGTCTAGTCCTTCTCTTCTTGTCTTTATAGTTGGAAATAAATTAAACTAATTCTGGTTTCAGTCCCAGGCAGGTACACAAGAAAACAAACAGGAGAAAACCTGGCAAAGTTGTGGGGTGTTTCGTGCCAAAAACTGTCTGGCGCAGACTGAAACAATGACGTGTATTTCATTTATAATCATCGTAAATGCAATCACACATGCATTCGGTATGAGTGTGTGTAAAATGGATAAAATATGAGCCTGACAGATGTGGGTAAACAGCAGAGCGTTCTCCTCGTGTGCACTCTTTTGAAATACAAGGCAATGCACTTTAAGAGTATGTAAACCCCTGAGAAGACATGTTGCCACCGTCTCTAGCAACTCCACTCCACGTGAATCGTGTGAATATTAATGAGTGTGTAACCTAGACACTTATTGCAAATGTGACACACACACACGTATAAAGCGAGTGGGGATCTCTAACCCAGTTAACTTGGGGGTGAATTCTGTGATTTTGCTCTGGGGACGTATGATTGCATTTGCCTTATAGTGCGGCGACTGAATTTCCTTGTAATAATCTACTAATATCTTGTATCGTACATTATGTGATGACACGCTTTTGTGTCCACTCTTCTGGATCTTTACTCAAACAAATACTTCAGTGTGTGAACGCTCACGTGTCTCCATGCTGTTCTCCTCCTCTCCTGCAGTCACGCCAGGCTTCTCGTACGATTTGTCGATCGCAGCTCGGAAGCTCTCGTTGCAGCCGCGACCCCTGACAATGCGCGAGCGCGGCCTGTTGACGTTGATCTCGCCGTTCAGCGTGGCCTCGGCAACAGCCGTCTGCAGGCTCTCCAGGGAGCTGGACTTTTTCAACCCCAGCGAGGGTCCGACCGCTTGTTCTGAAGAACCTATAGAAAAGCAAAAAGTGTGTCAGCGGGGCCAGACGACTAATAGACTAAATCGAACTCCGCCACAAAAGTGACCAATCCTGTCCTCATGCATGCGTGTGAGTCATTCGTTTCATATGGGATGATGGTATGTGGCGTGCTTGCCGAGCCAAGAGAAGGTGTGAGTCTGGCAATTAACATGAAAAACAAATGATGCCATTGCCTGGCCAATGAAGTGTGTGAAACGAGAACAGAGTATTATATCTTCACTGAGACATTTTCCTGTTGAGAATTATAATTCAACCTTTGTCTTTGTGTCTGCACAGTAAAATTATGTGGCTGAAACATAATGCATATAAATGGGCCGCTATCAAAGACAGCAATGTACCACAGCACCAGAGTGATTATGGTGTTATGCTAAAACCTAATAAATTCCCAACATGCCGAGATAAACTACAAAACCTAAAACTATTTCCGTTGGTGCTCCTCAATCCCCTTCCATTTCTGCTCGCTTTCTCGGAGAGACTGAATAAAACAGAAGGGAGGGAGAGAAAAGGAGAAGGCAAACACACTAAATAAATCTTTGTCTATTCATTTCCAACACTATTCTTTTATATTCACAAGCCCAACTCAGCAGAAACAACATCTCACAACAGTAATATTTTGCTCCATTTCTAAGGCTTTAGTTTGTGTAGGTGTTTGACAGTGAATAAATGAAGCAGACGCGAACAAAATGACAACATGACGGCGGAATCATTGCAAAATAAACTCCTGGTATTGTTCTTGGGTGTCAACAAATGTTGGCACAGGCGAATCGACTGTAGACAGGCTGCAGAACAAAGTCAACACACAGAGCTCACATTGTCACAGTGCACTGATCAGACGCAATTAAAACCACCGGCAAGTGAAGTGAACGACACAAATCATCTTGTGGGTCTTGACATTCGTGTGGATGGTGTACCGCCCACCTCAACACTGATGCAGACTGAACACACACCCCCAGCAGGACAGTATCTTCTGCTGTACCATAAAAAAAATGCTCAGAAACACCTGGAAGAACACAATCAAGAGCCCAAGGTGTTAACCTCTAACATCCAAACCTCTCAAATCCCAATCATGTCCAACATCTGCAGGATCACGCTACCCTGCAACACATTATCCCAGTGTCTTAAATTTCTTGTGCATTAAATGTTTTTCTGATATAAAACCAAAGCATTTCTATTTATTTACTTGTCTAAATAACACTGCAAAGGATGTAACCACTACAGAAGTTGACAAATATCATGTAAATTGCACACAAAGGGCTGCTATGACTTAAAACCTCGCTGCAAAGCATCACAAAGTAATAAGAGGTGCTCATATACAGTACATCATATTTACAAGACAAATCATCTCCTTTGACCCTCTGAACTCTAGATCAACCCGCCGGCTTGAAAGGCTTGTTTTATTTTTATTTTTGGTGTTGTTTGTCCTGAAAAGCCCAACCAGGGATGGGAGCTGAAAATGACCTTAATGCTTTACACTCTATATGCAATACATCAGATGTTTTCTATGTAACATGCATGGTCCCTGATTAAATAAATCCATCCATCCATCATCTATACACCACTTAATCCTCACTAGGATCGCGGGAGTCTATCCCAGCTGACTCAGGGTGAAGGCGGGGGACACCCTGGACAGGTCACCAGTCTACTACACTTAGAGACAGACAACCAAGCACACTCACATTCACACCTACGGACAATTTAGAATCACCAATTAACCTCAACATGTTTTTGGACTGTGTGGGAGGAATCTGGAGAACCCGGAGAGAACCCACGCTGCAGGGGGAGAACATGGACACTCCACAAAGAAAGATCCCAGGTGTCCTCACCGGGATGCGAACCGGCGACCTTCTTGCTGCGAGGCAACGGTTCTAACCACAGAGCTACCATGCAGCCTTGGTTAAATAAATCAAATGAAAAATGAAAAACTTCAAAATTGCACCATTTATCAGAGCCAGAAAGTGTAAAAACAGATATAATTATTGAATTTTCAGCATTTCTGTGGTTCTGCTGATCTGTGGTGTGCCATTACATTATAAAAACTTAACCAAACCGAAGCCTAAAACCATCACATTTTATGTCTCATTTATAAATTCGCTAAAAATATCAGGGTCGGTACAAACCAGAATCTATAAAAATAAAGGAAACGCTGCAATCCTTGGCCAAAGCAGGAAGCCATGAGTGCCTCAGCTGCAAGCAACATAACAAAAATTCAGGGATTTTTTTGGCTGAATTGTTTGGTGTGTTTACTCAGAACAGAACACGATAAAAACTAATTTAAAATGTGCATTGTAAAACAACTATGGTTTTTCCAGCAACCATTTTTTTTCCAGTATTACTAACATCTTTAGGCTCATGGCAAAATGTTGTTTCCACATTTTTATTGTTATTTTTTTTTAATTTCTGTAAAATAAATAAAGAAATGTAATTAATATTTTTTTACTTTTTCTTTTTTTTAGCCATGTTTGTGCTGTTTCCATAGAGATGCAGGAAAAACGAGCCCACAGTGAGGAAAAAATGTGACAGCAGCAAAAGAAAAAAATAAATAAATACAAAAACTGCTTGTAGTTCAGAGTGTTAAAGGATCTACACGGTGCTGGACAACCAGCTGTGTTGGGAGCAAAGTGAATGTTGAACAGTCATCCCCTTCAACAGTGGAGCCTGGCCCTGGACAGCTGTAATTATTTTTCCAATGCTTGCCAGGGTTTTGTTTAGGGTATGTAAGTGGAGCGCGACTCAGGTATTGGTATTTCATTTTGTCAGGGAGCGTCCGTCAGCTCCCCGGAGCTCTTGCCTTACCCGCCAGTTGGTAAACAAGTAGCCTGGTTGATTTTCTGTCCCCTTTATTGTGCTTCGATTTCGGCATGCAGCAAGGTGCTGTCAAATGTAACAAGATGGATTTCTGAATATGTGCAAGTGAAACCTTGTTAGATGTAAACATCTGTGGAGGAAACTATCACTAATAATGGATAAACTGTTGATTCAATTGCTTTAGCAGCCTCCCAGACTCTCAGAGGGTGCAGCACATGTCGATGGAGTCTGGACAGAGCAGCATTGTGTCTTTACGACTCCCTGTGGACCATATAGGCCCTCCACATGTAGTAAGTGTGCGCTGCTGTTTCCTCTGTGGCTTCAGCTGGTGTAAATAAACGTCTTCCACAGCTCTTCCTGTTGGTTTTCACTAGCGAACGTTGCTATATAAGGCTCGTCTCTACCCCCATTGAACAGAACACACACATGCAAACACTGTTTACACTGTGTGCCCCATGCAGGGACTTCCCAATAGATCCAACCACACAAACCTATCACACACACACACACACTTCAGTGCCAGACACAATCAACAGGATCCTCGACATGTTTAAAGTGGTCTAAATGAGGCATGTCCCATGGCTGCTGGGCGATCACAATGGATCTTCAGGCAAAGAAAAGAAAGAAACCCCTCATAACCAAAAGAAAACTATTTGTTATACAGAACCTCAGCCTCCCAAACACCCCCCACGCTGTTTAGGACAGGACAAGAGGAAACATGGAGTGAATACACAATGGTTGTAAAAGCAGGGCACACATAATTAATGACCCCCACCGGGGAACGTCAAGGTTTTGATTTATTTTTTTGTTACCTTGTTAACATGTCCATATGGTGTTTGTTATGTGCTAAAAGACTTGTCATGAGCTAAATGAGCAGTCAATGCTGGAGCATTTCTACCTTGAGACTGGAATGACAGGTTTAAAAAAAACACAGATTTAGACTTCCAGGGTTCCACACAAACATAAAGAACAGATCCTGTTAAGTTGCAGGATGGGACTTTCTGTATATCATAAATTCTGGACTATAAGTCGCTACTTTTTCCACATGCTTTGAACACTGCAGCTTAAACAATGATGCGACTAATTTATGGATTTTTACGATTTTTACGAATTTGCCTCAAGACCAAAGTGTCATTGAGAGCGACAACGAAAGAGAGACTGAGGAAGTGTGTGACGAAGTAATTCTGAGGCCGTTCAACTCCGACACTGAAGAAGACGACTTTAGTGGTTTTAGTGCAGGAGGAAGATGAAGATCGCGATCAATGACTTTTCCTGGTAGGATACTGTATTTTTAAATTTTCTTAACCAGCCGTGTTTCAGACACTGCATTTACGGTACATATTTGTGTATGTTACCGGTACGTATTTAATTAAAAGTTTTTAAAAAAAATCTTTGTGTGTAAATATCTCATGTCACAACGTGGACACCTGGAGCTTATTCACAAGTGCGGGCTCTATATGTACAAAACTTGTTTTCTTTTTAAAGTTAGTGGGTGCTGCTTATATTCAGGTGTGCTCAGTAGTCTGGAATTTACAGTAATTATTCTTCTTCAGAATTAGTGTCCAGTTCTAACATGTATGGCTGAGTTAGTTACTTGAGTTTGTCTTTCTACAACTTGACATGGTGTAGTGTAGCGTTTTACAGTGTTTAAGCAGAGTTGTAGGTGAGCCGGTGTGCTTGAACTGCAGCGAGTAGGGAGGAGTGGGTGCAGAAAGAGGTGGAGACTTTATAGATCTGCACATAAAAAGAAAAGAAGCAACGGTGTGAAGTTGCATGCCATTTTAGGGCATTGACTGGTTTGCCACCTCTGCAAAGTAGGCAAGCGATAACAGCTTCTTCTGTTGTGCACTAAAGACAAAAATCAAGATACTCATGGCAAGCCCTTATAATGACCAGGATAAAAGCTTAAAGGCAGTGAAATTCCTCTGAAAACAGCCGGGGGCCCAAGAGATTAATCAATGACCAGAGAGGGACTTAGGAATAATTAAAAACAAAAGAGCGCTAAATGACAGCCCTGTGTAGAAATGCACATATTCTGTTATCATAGTTTTACCAGAGGCGGCTTGTTGTCGTTTTTCTGGCTAAACCGTGTTGCTAGTCCTTTAACCAAACAGTTCTGCAGGAGCTCTCTTGTGATTAGCCAGCTATCTTCATGCTGCAAAACAT